CCCCAAAACCCCAAAACCCCAAAACCCCAAAACCCCAAAACCCCAAAACCCCTTAAATGAGAATACCTATATACTATTCAATTTATTTAAATAACCATCATGAGTTCCCCTCCGAGCATGAAGAAGATCGTTGAGATGCCTTCAGACGAAGAGTCTGATAACCCAAAGAAAGACATTTTAAAGAAACCACTTGGTGATAATTCAATGGCCAGACTTTCTGAAGAAGAACAAATCGGTCAAGGAGACTCGGCCAAAGATTACCAATATGAATTCATCATGCATGTCTGAAAGCCATATAAATAAAATCGTTTACTTCTTGATCAAGAACGGGTATGTCAGAGAGAGGACGCCGTTCTGTAAACATGGAATCAGGTCTTGCCACCTCAACTCGCTCGAAGCGTTTTGCACCAACTTCTTTTATGGATTCATGACCAAGGCAGTGATTAATATCCTCCTTGGATTGATGAGTCCCAGGAAGAAGCTGGTCAACAACATCATTGACTTATTCTCAGCCGACTGCATGAGCTTTTGCACATTCTTGGGAGCCCTGAGCGGCCTCTACAAGTTCTCGATGTGCACGCTCAGGAGAATCAGAGGTAAAGACGACGAACTAAATTCCTTAATTTCTGGGGCTCTTGCCGCACTTTCGATGATGCTCGACAGCTCGAAGTCACGGAAGAAGTTCATCCTGATGTACTTGTTCTGCAGATCGCTAGAAATGCTGGTCAACGTGCTGGACAAGAAGAAGCTTATTAAGAAAATCAAGTACTTCGAATGCTACATGTTCGGGCCCACACTTGGCTATTTGTTCTACGCCTACATGTACGAGACGGAATGTTTCCCTAAGGGAATAGATAAAGCGTTTTTGTCGACCAGCAAGCCCACCAACAGGGAGTACTCCATGTTTGAAGATATCTTCCAAAGACAAGGAAAAATCTACTTCCCAGGTGCAGCCAAGAAGATTAGACTCTAATCTTATTAGTTTTAGGTTTAAAAGTGCTTAAATTACGTCGATTTCCGAATAATCGTCTTTGTTCTAGAGTTTCTTTCAATTTTAACAGAATTTTTTGGGGTTTTGGGGTTTTGGGGTTTTGGGGTTTTGGGGTTTTGGGG